GTAGTAGTAGTAGTAGTAGTAGTTGTTGTTGTTGTTGTACTGTAGTAGTAGTAGTAGTAGTAGTAGTAGTAGTAGTAGAAGTGGTAGTAGTAGTAGTAGTAGTAGTAGTAGTAGTAGAGGTAGTGGTAGTGGTAGTAGGAATAGTAGTGGCAGAAGAATAAGTAGTAGCAATAGCATCAGTAGCAACAGTAGCAGTAGTAACAGTAGTAGTAGTAGTAGTAGTAGTAGTAGTAGCAGTAGCAATAGTAGTAGTAGTAGTAGTAGTAGTAGTAGTAGTAGTAGTAGTAGTATTTAGTACATGCATGTATTGGTCCATTGGTGCTTTGGTGCATTGGCATATTGGTGTCTGAGTATGGTAGTATGTCAGTATATTAATATGCTGTATGCCAGCACATTTATTATTAGTTTATAGGTAGCTCAACACTTTATTTGTGTCTTTAGTAGTAGTAAGTAAAGCAGAAAATGCAGACAGGGAGCGAGTTTGAAGAACTTGCTTGGCATGTGCGTTGAGCATCTCAGCAGAAACTTCTACAGGTGCTCCGGCAACGCCGTTCACTGCAGAGACCCCATTGGCCACATCGGCTCCGTTGACTGCAGCGACTCCGTTGACTCCGGCAAGCCCATTGACTCCGGCAACTTCGGCACCTTCGGTTGCAGTAAACAGTTCGAACAAGGTGATGCTGCTCAGAGATAGAGCAGTCGCAGCTTGGTGCGGCCGCCTGGGACTTCGGGCACGGGCATGCCGATCTCTTCAGGGCCATGGGCAAAATTACAGGCAATGCCTTTCGTGCACCTGCCTTCCCTCGGCTGTCCGGCGATGCATGCAGTTGCAGTTGCCCTCGTGCATGTGAACGATGCGAAGCAAAGCATAGTGCTGCCGAGCATCATGTGGAACTTGCACATTGCTGTCTTTATTTTACCTGGGCTGAAGCTTTCTGAATCACGATGATGATGAAAGACAAGCATCATGTCCTGCGGCGTGTCGGAAACGAAGCCTCGAAACAAAACATAAGCCTTGAATCGCGCACTCGCAACCATGACTCCCTCAGCCGTGGTGGCCGAAGCAAGAAGCATGATCCCCAAACGGTGAACCGATCAAATGGGATTGAGATCAATCCCTAAAAGATAGACAGAGCGTGTAGCAGCAGTATTGCATGTCGTCATATACGAAGTATGAGCTCAGCAGCAGTAGTCGTCAGCTAGTCGTCATCGCAGCATCAACATGCGTTCCAAGTACGTGAAGCAACAACGGCCCTGGTCCCTGAACCTTTGTAAGAAGCCAGAATCCCTAAACCCTAAACCCTAAACCCTAAACACAGAATCCTTTCAGCCTCGTGGCTGGCACCACCGGCGCCCTTGCACTCGGAGTCTGGCCTGTGAGGGGCACAGAACAGAATGACCCAAACCCCCAGGTACCTACTATGTAGGGTACTAGAGCCCCTAGTGCCCTATATAGTAGGTACCTGGAGGGTCAGGGTGAGTTATGGGCTAAGTTATAGGCCTCGATGTGACATAGACTGGAGGTCAAAATCGCCAGGCAACAAGGAGGCTGGAGTCAGCGAGGGCGGAGGAGCCGGGAGGAGACAGGATTTTGGCCAGCGAAAATATTTAGGACCTATTTTATGGTTGGGACCCTTTAAGAATGAACTTGGGCAAGATAACAAGTGAAGTAAAATTCAGGGTCTGCGCGGGTGCCTTAGTTTGGGATGTAGCTAGATAGCTATGCAATGAATTGGAGCCTGTGCAATATGCCAGGGCTTCTTCAAAACACAATCGCTGCTATAAGAAGATTCCTATTATTCTGACTTTAAGCTTGAGTCTTCATAACCAGTAAGTTGGATTAGCATGATTGCCTTCGCAAAGAACCCCCCCCCCCCCCCCCCGCCGCCCCCAATGGAACAGTGTCCGGCCTGCACTGGTACTGCCCAGGGGCCACTTCGACCATCTCAGTTTGTCAAGGGTTCGCGTTCAACGGTCGTTGCTCGCGGCTACCTAAGCCTCTCTGAAGCCAATCTCTACACATGAACAAGAACATCAAGAATTACTTGTTCTAGAGTACGTACATACACACAGGCTGAGTGACCAGCGGTCGCGCCTACACACACAAACATGCATACATACATAC